GGGGGAGGGGGGGTAAATTGTGGCAGTGTGGGATGGGCTTCCCTTCTTTGGGTGGTGTCCCTTTATGAGAGTGAGTAATGAGGATAATTAATGTCAGCATATTTAAATGTCTGGGCAGGAAGCATTAGAACATAGCCTCTGTCATACCCTTCAGTCCCTGTCTTCAGTGTCACCGTAGTTTAAGTAGGTGATGGTTGATTACGTGTGTATTGTGTGTTTTAGTCTATTATAATAATGCTCGTTCTTGTTTTTATATCGGCAAGATGTTGTTGCAGCCATGCCTGTTAAGTCCTCGGTGAGCTGCGTCAAGTGATCGTTGGAAGTTTTAGGTATGCAGGCTGTTGTATTATGTTGATTTTCGTTTAGTCTGAAGTGTTTCTTTTGTGTGTTTTTAGTGAAACAATATTTATTAAGACATCCTATGCTTGTGTAGCTGCGGATCGGAGTATGTATAATGCAATATGTCGTTTTGGGTGTTTCTGATTTATTTAGTTTTTGCAGTCTTCTGCAGGCCAGTTGATGACCAACTGCGGGTCGTGCTGCGGTTTTTCATAGTTTGGTTTCTTGTGGTGTGAAAATGGTGTTTGTGCTTTTCAATTTGTTGTTTTTGTGTCTGTTTTGAGTGTGATGGTCCGAGTTGAGCTGTTTAGGCCGAATTGGTAGTGTCCAAAAACCTTAACCTAATTAGTGGTTCTGGTTTATTGCCAGTGAGGTAGGACGCTACGTTACTCCATTAATTGGCCTTTTTGGTTAGCTATTTTTATTTTCTTGAGTGAATATTTGTATTTTTGCATTTGTATGCACTAATGGTGGGGTTTTTTTTTTTTGGTTTTTTTTTCTCTTCTCCTAGTTTGGTCCAAGGCTGAGTGTGCCGAAGGAGAGGCTAGTCCCCTGGGTGAAGCACACAGTTGTGAGTCTGGAGCACCAGGGTTTGAGCACCTCTTCCTATTGTTTGCTGTGCACATGTTTGGCTGAGAGCACTGTTTTTCAGCTAGTTTGCCACCCCTAAGGTAAGCTCTAGCCTTGTTGCTTTTTTTTTTTTTTTTGTTGTGTAAGTTTGTTTATATTGGTTGGTGGGGAAGGTGCAAAGGTTTGTTATACTTGGATTGTTTTTTTGTATTCTGAATGTTTTTTATTATTTTTTTTTAAATCTGGTGAGCCTGCACCCTGCCTATTGGTTATATATGTATTTTCTATCTCTCTTGTTTCCCCATCAGTGGATGTCATTGTTTTTATAATCACTCTTTCTCGCTTTCGTGACAGATGACTCTAACATCGTCCATTTGAAGCTAATTGAACAAAAGAAAGATCCTCTGGTGGTTCGAGTATGGTGTACTGGTATTTACCAAGAATAAGGACAACTTTATAAAGTCACAATGGGATCTCACCACGCAGCAGGTCTACAAAAAATTTCTCACCATGTACTTTTACTGTCTTAATTTATTTTTTGTCATCTTTATCAGATTAAAAAAATAAAGCCCTGCTTTACACTAAGTGTCATTGGTGCATAAGCACCATGTTTGGTTTTGGTTTTGCCACCCACCAAATAAGAGATTTCATGCAGAAGCATTGCATGTAGCAGGTGTTTTGGCTTGAAAGTGTGCAATGTGATTTTATTTGGGTGGCATAATTTGTGTTACCGATAATTTTGCATTTATATTATTTTTCATGAACATTTTACTTTTTTTACACGGATCTTACCCTTTGTAGATGGGCATTCACACATTCGAAAGATCTCAGCCGAGGCCAATGATGAGCTTCATTTGGTTCGGATTGCTGTTCAGAATTTATTGTAAGTATGATTTTATTCCTATTTTGAGCTGCTGCATTAATCTCAATTTATTTAAAGGATTATTCTGTGTTAAATACAGCTTAACCCTCTACCTCACCGCTTCTCAGCTGGCTTTGCTTTAGCACCCAGTTTTTATTCTGAAAAATTTATAAAACTGCACAAGTAAACAGACTTTAAAGCCACAAAATAAAAATAGCACCAGATCTTATCTGTAACGTGCATGCGAGTATAACAGATTATTGAAAAAGGAAAAATGTAAGGAAGTATGGGGTGATATAAGTGGGGGGGGGGGGTGTACGGTGAGTGGTCATTGAAAATTTGTTCTGATTTGTTGTTCTCGG